CGAATTTTTGATTTGCTAATCAAATCAATCTCGAGGGAAAAAAGGTTTAAAAAAAGAAAGAGCTACAAACATGGACTTCTGCCGACAAAAAATCGCACAGATGCAGGTCTGAAGCCGAAAGAAAAAAAACCCGATACGAGTAACAACTAACTAACAAAAGAGCTCAATACAACCGTAGAGCAGACCTAGATACACCTAGTGAGCCAGACAAACCTACCTAGGTAGGTTTGTCTGGGTTTATATATATATATATATATATATATATATATATATATATATATATATATATATATATATATATCATAATTAAGTAATTCATCGAGTCTAGAAGAAGCCTAAACAGAATGCAGAAAGCACTGGACGCCCGTTTCGTCCTATATTTGAGACTGTCCAGTGGTTTCTGCATTCTGTTGAGGTTTCTTCTAGACTCTATGAATTACTTAATTATGATAATCTCAAATACTCCTAAATAATTTCTATCATATATATATATATATATATATATATATATATATAAAACATATTGTCATATATGTGTGTGTGTGTGTGCGTGTGTGTCCATGTAAACATTTTATTACATAAGGAACGAAGTTAACGCAAAATGCTTGTAAATAATTAGTATCATATTAACAGATACGTTTATTTAATATTTGGATTTTTATTCTCGATAATAATGTGAAGAAGCATCAAAGCATTAGTCGAATTGTCTACTATCAATGTCTATTAATCCAATATTGCTTGCCTTTAGGCATGATCTTTGATGTAAAATATATAATTTACGCGTAGTTAGAATCTGTAGTGTAGCGAAGTGTTATGTAATATCGTTCATCCTATATGGCAATAAATGCTGGACAATCTCCTCACAGATGAAGAAGAGAATTGAGGCAACAGAAATGAGTTTCTACTAAGGATGCTAAAAATACCATGAACTGAACAAAGGTTTAAAACGAAGTTTAAAAATGTTACTTATACTTAACATCAAATTTCTCGGGCACATAATGAGGAAAGAGAGTTTAGAAATTTTGATACTGACAGGGCATTCTGAAGGCAAGAGGAAGAGAGAAAAACAGCGCATAACGTACTCGATGAACTTGTGAAAATGATTGACAAAACAGGGATTAGGAGGGATGGCAAAAAACAAAATTTACAAAAAAAAAAGAGCTAAAAAAGCCAGGAAATTATGGAGAGCTATGATCGTCCTCGTTCTGAAGTATAAATGCTTCATTCTCGACGGTGGATATTGATCACCCACACTGAACATTATACAATGAAATTTTCAGATCAATTCAGCTAATAACTGTATTAGACAAAGGACTTAATTATTCATCTTTATATACTGTGTTATATATATTTCTCTGTGTGTGTGTGTGTGTGTGTGTGTGTGTGTGTGTGTGTGTGTGTGTGTGTGTGCACGCGCCTGTTTTTGTATGTGTGTGTGTGTGTGCGTGCGTGAATGTCATCAATGATTGCTGGATGTTTTTATGTGCATATCCGCTGGTGTAAGTGCAGTCACATGATTCAGATACAATTCTGTACATCCCACACTTCCGTCTGCCATTTCTGCCTGCTCTGAGCGTCACCCCACAACGCTCAAAGCAATTACGATAAGAGACTTGAGTCTTTGGGGACGGAGAAGTCGGCTCAAATGACCAATATCGCCAGAAAAAAAAATAACAGTATAGTGAATGCTGGACAGAGAAGACCTTTGGTTTGTAAGCAGTGAGGGCTGAAATTGACGGTCAAATATGGTAAACAGTTCCTAACAGACTGTAGTTGATGACCTTTGTGATCTGTAGGTCCCAGTTTACAAACGGTGATAGAAAGAAAAATAAAATGAAAAGTAAAACAATGCATCCTCACATTTCAAGTTCGTCAGGGGAAATTAAACTCTTAATGCCGATGACCAATATCAATATTTCGTCGTAATCGATTCAGTGAAATCAAACTTGAATTGAGTAATGCGTTCGTCGCTGGAAGTACCTGCTCTTGCCCTTGTTTGAATAGCTTTTATTGCTGTTCTTAATACATGAGAGGGATTGAATCTGATTCGAACAAGAGAAAATTAGTTTGGCTCAGTAAACAGAAAAAATACTATTCCAAGTACTAACTGAACTCGTGGATGTTCAACTAAGATTTTCCCTTGTTTCAGGCCTCTGTTCTTATCTCTCCCTTTTACCTTTAACTTTTCTATTTACTCCTGTACTCACTTCAATGATCCTTGCTTTTATCTAAATTCAATACAAACATGGATTAGTTTCATATGAGAAAAGAAAACGGAATAAGGAATAAGGAATGCCTATTTGTTATCACTCTATGGTAGAGCGCATGGGCACGTTAGTGTTCCGACATTGAAACCTGGGGTGACAATCCCAGCGTTTAGCATCATTTGGGAATTGTTAAAAAAGCATACTACCGGTTTTCTGGAACACTGCGAGTGAAATTGGGTAATTGAAATTGTTCGGAAGTCGTCAGTGGTTGTGCTAGCACAAAATCACAAGTCATCGTGACTGAGGATTTAAACGTACTAGCCAATACTGAAGGATCGCGGCACATCGAAGAAGTACTATAAGAACTTCATTATCAGTGTACTTACTTCAATGGTGGATTTTGATCACATTATACTGTGAAGTTTCAGATCAAAATGCAGTCACAAGTCATCGTGACCGAGACTTTGAACGTACTATCCTTGTTCAGCAGCTGATAACACCAGATTGTGCACTGTATTCTAAAAACTAAGTAACGTCCGCTCAGTATAGTTGAATTATAAACTATCGGTTGGCTTTGTGAGTGTTAAACACAAAAAAGCCTGTGCTGGTGTCTGCAATAGAGATTTTCTAGCAACAGATGTAGTCTCCTGGGACTGGGCGATGCTTGCTTATTTCTTCATAGATAATTTGAATGCAAAACATATTTACGGCCTTCCATATAGACCTACTTTTTAATCTTTCACTCATTGTCCTCTAATATCCAACCAGGGGGCCTGTCTGTAATTTTCTTTCTTTCATTTCCATTTCACACATTTTATATAGTTTAGTATTTTCATCTGGTTTTCTTTCCATTCATAACTAATTTTTTTACTCCATGCCTTTCCTCTTTTACGCCCATTTTCTTCTCCCCTCCCACGGTTTTCACAATTCCTTTTAGTTTAATATTATTAGGTAGAGTTAACGGTCAAAGGTCAAACTCCAGCTCAGAAGAGCCGGGGATCATGCAGAAATATTACATATTGATAGTTTTTAGAAAAAAATAATACCAGCAGGATGACAGTATAGCTTGATTGACTGATTTGTTTCTTACGGTCTATCAACCTTTGGCAGGTTATTTTAAGCTAGAAAATATTTTTGGATTGTAAAAAAATTGTGGGGGGATACTTATTTAATGATACAAGTCCTACTATTTAACCCATAGCTGGCGGAAAGAAGAAGTGGATTCATACATTTTTCAAGGGCATCTGCATGTAAGCGACTATAACGAACCCGGCTGGATTTGGAACTCGGCTCTACAATTCCACGCCGTTATCCATTAAACCTTCGGCACATTCAAGTTTACAGTATCTGATATTTCAAAGCGGTCACCCATTACAAATATTGAACAGGTTCAGCGCTGCTTACCTTCGATAATCGTACAAGAACCGGTTTTATAACGTAATATGACCCTAAGCCGACAATATAGATGATTCAAACAAGTATTTTCGTCTTTTTTGCCATTATGACATTGCTTACACCGATCCGCTCGTCGAACTTCATAGAATTGTCTCTCGTTCCCAGGTGACGTTTTGTTTTCGTTCTACTCATTCTTAGAAATAGTAGTTCCAAAACGGCATAACGGAGAATGGAATGTGTTTATGCTCATATCACACTAATGCGCTTAAAGGCATGACTTCAATTCTCCTTTACGTCTGTTTTATCGCCAGATGCTGTTACAAATGTTTCGTCACTAACAAGCCAATATTTTTTTTTTTTTTTTTTTTTTTTTGCAAAAAAAAAAGGGTGGTTGGGTAAACACTTGGTAAATCTAGTCCAGGAGGAACAAAAAGCTGATACATCCATTTTCAACCTTGAAAGGATTCTCATCGATCAAATTCGGACTGATATTTTTCTATGATTTTTTAATCATTACGCCAGTCCAATTTCTTGTCATTTTCAGGTGTGCATCGCATCTTCAAGAAATTTTTAACAGAGTTTTTAATTCTGCTCTGCTAAATTTCATTCAGAACAATTTGCGACAACCATTCATCATAGACTTTTAGAATTTTATCAGTTTTTGGTAAAATGTCACGACTATAAATAGCAGAAACTCAAAAGAGGGAAAAAAGAAAAAAATGGTGGATGTCCATTTGATATTCCAGTTATTGGCTATTTGACAATTTAAGTGAGAGAATCAACCAAGTCCCGTTTTTTATGAACTAGACGAACTTCTGAGCTTTACTTGCTGGAAACTTAAGAGAAAGTAATATTTATGAAAACATTTTTCATGAACTAATTATTTCTAACTTAAAAAGTTAAAAGGATGAGGATATTAGTCCTAAGATATTGTGAAATAATGATAAAGATTCACATCGAAATTTCAAGCAATATTTACAAAATTGTTTAGATGTAATTACCTGTTTTTGTGCTCATCTATCAACTCACCTATCTAACTGGATTCCTGGTTTACGACCATATAGCGTTGAAACAATGGTTCTCGTACATACGCTGAATTTATACAATCTGCTTGTTAGAAAGTTGAATTTGCTTTTCGACCAGACTTCGTCGGAATTTTTGAGTATTGATATCATGGTATCATGGTAAGATGCACGACCATGCAATTTAAACACTGTGTATTTAGGTAGCAAATGATTTTAAGGCAAATATTTTTAAAGACAACAGACAATTCAACTTTCTAACAAACAGATTGAAGGGCCATATTTATTCTGAAATGAACATCGGACAATTTCTGACGGAATTTTCTACTTATCTGAGAAGGATCATTCGTAATTTTGGAAAATGTTATCAACAAGATTAATCGACAAAAATATCTGTGATCTTTAATATATAGATAGATAGATAGATAGATAGATAGATAGATAGATAGATAGATATTGATAGTATTAGTGGTAAATATACACATACATATGCAATCATATATCTAAAATATCTAAATATATATACATACATACACATACATATATATTTGTATAAAAAATAATTCCAAGAGGATAGAATCCAGGTAGAACTCAATGTCCAGGACAGAGTAAGGATAAAAAGGCTTAAACATAATATTAGTGTTTTACATTTTATTATATTTTTATATATATATATATATATATATATATATATATATATATATATATATATATATATATATATATCACATATTAAAGGGATTAAACAGGGATTTGGTTCACTCAGAGAATATAGTTTCCACGGGGAGCTGTCTAACAAACAAAAAAAAAACATTCCTCGGAAAAGTGAGTCGCACTTCTTTGTTTATTGCCCGTCTCGCTGAAAAAGGACAATTGTGTCTCCGAAAATTCCAGCTTAAAAAATTTCTCTTCGTACTTCATTACTTGTTCGTAATTTAATCAAAAGGCTAATTTATAAATAAATATCATCAATCTTATTGCCAATATTGTTATCATTTGTCGTCTTTTTATTCCTCAAATTTCATTAATCAGCCTATTAAATCTCTCTCTCTCTCTCTCTCTCTATATATATATATATATATATATATATTGTCCAAGTGAAATGTTTATTACTTAAGGAAATAAAGTAACACCAAAGGCATGTAAATAATTAATATCTGATTAACACACGTTTATTTAATACTTCGATCTTTTATGATATATATATATATATATATGTGTGTGTGTGTGTGTGTGTGTGTGTGTCAAAACACATTGGGTAGTAAATTTAGTCGGTCGCAAATCTAACTGAACTTTTCGTGTAGCCCCATGAATGTTGCGTTACTCAATGTCATTTTAGAAGCCCTGTAGAAATTTATTTTTAAAATTGAGCATTAATCTTTTTTTTTTTAAATAATAGCAAAACCTAAAAATCACTAATAAGACCTGAAGAAAAACTGATTAGGGCTTATCTCTTCGAGTAAGGATATTGGAAAATTGCCATGAAGCCTGACAAAACCCCTTTCACTGTATTATCAAGTGTTCATAAATAGAAAGAAATTGATGATGTATCAACGCTTGCACGACCCAGTTGTCCAAGGAACATTTTAGCACGAAGGCTGTATAAATTCATATGGGAACAATCAGTCAGCCTGAAATCGAGCATAAAGAATCAGACAGATCTGAAGGACAGATGGACACGTCTCACCAATTTGTAGAACACTGAACTGACAAAGATTTCACGCCCGACTTACATGTAAAATTCACTACCGAAAAATAAAAAATAAGCGCGTAAGAAAACTCGTTTAGCATTCGCTCAAAAGGATTGGGAATCAGTTGAATGATTACTGAAATACAGTTATTCGGTCAGACGAAACAAAAATTCAACTTTGAGGAAATAACTGACAATGTTACACGTGGAGAAAAACAAAAGAACAGTGTATGATTAATTTTTTTTTAAAATACCATCTCAGCGGTGGGTATATCACTTAATGGGATTGCTTTAGTATAGTGGGTACCGGGAAACTCACCACGATTGAAGGGATTTTTTATGTCATGTTCCTTAATGACGTAGGCGATCATAGCTCACCGCAGATTGTCTTTTCTTCGCTTTCTTTATTATTTGCGATCTGCTGACTTCCTAAGAAAGAGAGCGGAGTGGTCTCCCGTTTCTTTCTCCGCGCTTTAGTGGCTTACGGCCAGATCATATTGAAACACTAGTTCCCGCACGATCACCGAAGTTAAGCAACGTCGAGCTTGATCAGTACCTAGATGGGTGACCACTTGGAAATATCAGCTTGGATGTGCAGGTGATATAATGGATAATGGCTCGGAATTGTTAATCCGAGAGCCGTGTTATATACATTTACGTGCAAATACTATTGGGAAAGGCGTGAATCCACGTCTTCTCTCCCCCAACTATGGGTTAATTAGTAAGACTCGTATGACTATGATTATCTCAAAAAATGAAATGAAATATTTAGATTTCGGTATTAAATAACATATAGAGGTAGATAAGATAGTAAACAAAAATAACCAACCGAGCAATTCTCCGCAGTTTTCACTTCAGAATAATCTTTCTCCTAGACTGACTAAAGAGATCCATAGCCGAAGGAAAAAGAGATAGGTTTATGCATTTCGCAAAAGCATTTGTAGAAAAGCAAATGGGACAAACTATGCGGGTATTGGAACTCGACTCGCTGATTACACTTTCGGTGCTACCCGTGCATCTGAAAGGAAAATAGATTCGTTAAAATATCAGCCTATTCTTTCGAAAACTCTTCTTGCCTTCTACTATCCACCTACGACTTGGTAGACGATCTTCTCATAAGACAATTACCCGAACATTTCCTCAGAATGGTTTAAGAATAATAGGTTTAGGGCAACGGAATCGGCTTTTCAATAGCCTGACCTCAATCCAATTATACATTTGGATCATGAATTGAAAACTCCTGTTCGTAAACGGAAATCATTGAATCTAAGCGATATGGAAGGATTCTGCATAGAAGAAATGGCTGAAAATATTAGACGCGAGTTGCAGAAGCCTTATCGAGATCAACTAGCAAGTGATTGGTGACAAGTGAGGCTCAAGTATTAGATTGCGGAGGTTGAATAATTATGAGGAGGTGAGAATTATGGAGATAAAATAATCAATAATATTAAAATTAATATTCCCTTATTTGTTATCATTTCACGTATTAAATCTTTTACTGATGCTAAATGGATGTCATAAAATAAAATTCGGGGTGATTATTAGAGAAAACAAAGAAAATAATCTAGAAGTAAAAAAAACCTTCACGTACAACGATAGATAGATAGATAGATAGATAGATAGATAGATAGATAGATAGATAGAAAGAAAGATTGTGAACAAGTTTTAAGATTGCTCGAGGGGTAAAATGCAATGCTGATTCCTATGTCCACACTGTCTACAAAAATTCTATCTTCGATATTAAATAAAATTCCCTCTCTAGTGCATATATATATATATATATATATATATATATATATATATATATATATATTATGAAATGGATTTTATCCGACAACTATTTTAATATATTTTCTGTTTTATACATTATCTATAAAAATAACGTATAAGCAGAAAATATATTAAAATAATTATCCATTCACCATATATGATGTCATTTGTTTACGTTAAGATACGCTTCGAGCAGATATGAGCATTCTTGAAAAATCATGGGAAATTTGTTGTTAAAAAACAGTAATTTGACTTTGCTAACAGACCTTCCTCTGTAGCTAAATACTATAGCACGTCAGGCCATATGTAGCATACAGGTTCGGTTCATATATATATATATATATATATATATATATATATATATACAATATTATCAAAATCCGCTGGTCATTATATCCGGCTGATGGTTTTATGACATGAAACTCTGAGTAGCGGATTTTGATATTATTGTATTAATAATATTAGTACAATATTGACATGTACAGGAAAGATTATATTGAATCAATTGCTAGGTCCGCTACTAGGAAAGTTAATTCATTGTGTCGTGCTAGAAAATTTATCACCGTATTTTATGGCCTTGTGATCCACTAAGCTTTGCCTATAAAATACTGGGCTACCTACTAGCGCGGTTAACAAGCTCGTCTCGTAAAACAATTCTCTAACGCAGTCTGTTTGCGCCCCATTTCTTTTATGCGTCGTGTCTCTTCAAGATGTGGGCGACTATGGCTCTCCACAGCTTCCTATCCGTTTTAGCTCTAAACAATTTCTGTCATCTTAGTATCTTCTTACTCACTCTTCTACCATCAATTTACACAAGTTCATTAAGCAAGCTACTCGCTGTTGCCCTGTGACCATCTTGCCATCGTTACGTCCTGTGAGTGTCAAATTCTTCAAGCCCACTTTCCTCATTATTTCAACTGTCCCTTTCTGATTCTAAGCAAAAATGTCTTTTCTGTTCCCAATTTCCTTAATACTTCCTCTTTACGAACATTTTCCATCTATGGTATTCTCAACATCCTTCTTTAAAACCACATATCTGTTGCCTGAAACATCCTTTTCATCTGTGAAAAAAATGTCCAGCATTCACGGCCATATAAGAGAATTGATATTACGAGGAACTTCGGCACTCTTCTCTTTGCTTCTAACGAAATGTTTCTATTTCTTAATATATTGCTTAGGTTTTGGAAGACATCTTGCGCTTTCGGATGTCTGTGTCACATTTTACCATCAAGCAATTCACCTGATAAGATGCATTGATTCGCATCAAATCACGACTGCAAATTGTGTAGCGTTTTTTGACATGTTTTTGATGTAATATCCTAAAATAAAGAACATTGTTCTACTTTGTATTGAGCCCTCTTTTAAATTAAATGTTGCGAACATTAGAATTGGACCCTATTCGTTCTCATCTTATCTGGATATATATATATATGTGTGTGTGTGTGTGTGTGTGTGTGTGTGTGTGTGTGTGTGTGTGTGTGTGTGTGTGTGTGAATATAAAATATCACACATTGGGTGGTAGTGCTAATAAAATAGTGCTCTATGTATAATAACAGAGCTAAAATCTATACTAATAATAAATATACATTTTCCTCGCTGATAGCTCAACTCTATGTTTCATGCACGAGGCAGTCGTCAGGTGCTAATAGAAAACTAATTTAAATATTGACATTTATACTGTACTGTAATGATAGTGGGGCAATCCATTTCTTTATAGGACAACAGATAGATAGATAGATAGATAGATAGATAGATAGATAGATAGCGAGAGAAAGCTAGAGCTAAAGAGAGATCTAACCTGGCCTTGGCTGTAAAGGTCTGATAAAGTGGCACTAAAGACTGGAGCTCGTCTGAACTTTTGCCATCGAAGCAGCGACATGCTTCCGACGTTACGTCTATAGAGTAGAAAATAAGTA